ATTATAAACCTAACAGACCACTCAGATCATTAGGATCAAGTCAGCTAGAAATACCTAGGGTTCACACAAAACAAGGGGAGTCTGCTTTTAGTTATTATGCCGCCCGCAGTTGGAATCGGCTTCCAGAAGAGATCAGATGTGCTAAAACATTAGCCACATTTAAATCCAGACTCAAAACTCATCTGTTTAGCTGTGCATTTATTGAATGAGCACTGTGCAATGTCCGAACTGATTGCACTATATTTTATGTATAATCATTTTCTATTCTTAACTGTTTTAAATTCATTTTAAATCAATTTTTAAATCATTTTAAAAGTTTTTAAATTCCTTGTTTTATTGTTGAGATTATTTTTTATGATTATTTTACTTCCTTTTATGTAAAGCACTTTGAATTACCATTGTGTATGAAATGTGCTATATAAATAAACCTGCCTTGCCTTGCCTAAAAAATAAAAAAAGGTTTGTCATTTACACACTCTCATGTCTTTAGAAACCTGTATGACTTTCTGGCTTGCCTTTCTCAGTACAATGAAAGTGAACAGTGACCAAGACGTTCAAGCAAGATTATTAAAGCGGTATTTCCAGTGAATGACAGCCTGCATTATTTCTTATAACAAGCTATTATATGGGATCAGAATATTAGATATATAAGAGTCATATGGATGATGCTTGTATGCTGCATTTTAGTGAGCAAGCTTGATAACCCTTGGCCTTAATTTACTTTCATTGTAAAAAAGAGAGCAGACATTCATTTTGTTTTTGAGTCACTTTCACTTTATCACTTTAACCACATTACACAATTTAAGACAATTTTTTGATATAATACTGGTCAAAACAAGAATCTTTTTAAACATTGCAAGTGTCTTTACTGTCACTTTTGATCAATTTAATATATCCTTGCAGTAAAAAAAAAAATAATTAATTTCTTTTAGAAATGTAATTCTGCATTACAGCAGGCCTAAACAGTTCCTCTATTTTCTAAGAAACAACGCAGGACTTATAAATGAGCTTTTGACTCACTGACCTTTATAAATGGAGTACATTCAGGTCATACAATGACTTTGATCTTACAAAATATCTTTCTATAATCTTGGCAGCAGTCTAAATTCTGGCGTTTGGACAAAAAAAGAAAAAGAAAAAAAAAGGTAGCAGGAGAATATACAGAGATCACAGTGCTGAGATGACTCACAGTGTGGAATGCTGGGAGTTCATAAGCAACCTCCAAACACATTAAATCAAAACAGGCCAGCCCACCATATAAATGATCTCTGATACACATCCCTGGTGAAGGTATTAATTATTCATTTATTCATGACTATAAAACATTTTACTGATCAACTGATCAAGGTGATATTAAGCAGAGTCAGGACTTCTGATGTCACTGTCTCTAATTAAATCACTGCAGATGTTTGAATCCCTGAACATACTGCATGAAATCTGTCATTTAATTAAACTTCAAGCGCTTGTGAAAGTAAAAGAATATTCTGACATCTATTAATGGTCATAACCCCTGAAAATAACTGAAGATACATCAGTACAGGAGCTTGGTCTTAATGAAACGATGACATTACAGGGAAAACAAATTAACCCCAATGTTTATTTTCAATTATTTCCAGTAAAATTATTTATTTAGCATCCTTGTTATGTTAATCATTCATTTGGAACTGGACTTTGTGTTCCAAACACTGATAAACAAAGTCCAGTTCAAAATGAATGAACTATATCAGACGTTCTGCCATGACCTTGATGGATGAAAACTTTGTGTTCTTTGGTGTTGTGGTGACCTTCATGTCGGCTTTGTGTCAAGGCACAAGCAAATTACTCAGCTTCAATTCAGAATAAGAGATAGACAGAAGCATCACAGCAATGTGACTCAGTGAACATCTAAACCTTTCCTGCCTCGAGGTAATGCATCGCGAGTTTCTCTCTTTTACCATTTCTAGGTTGAATGTGACTGTGCTTTAATTTGATCACACGGAAACCTGACTATGCAAATGAGCAAATATGAAATGAGGAGAGCCGAAAACAGGATTAGGATTAGAGACACATATTAAAAAACAAAACCACTACAGTAAAAGAGCCCTACAGGTGCATCTCAATAAATTAGAATGTCGTGGAAGTACATGTACAGTAAATTAACATACTTTCCAGAAGGCCAACAATTCATTAAAAATGTTTTTTTTTATTGGTCTTATGGAGTATTCTAATTTGTTGAGATAGTGAGTTGGTGGGTTTTTGTTAAATGTGAGCCAAAATCATCACAATTAAACCAACCAAAGACTTAAACTACTTCAGTCTGTGTGCATTGAATTTATTTAATACACAAGTTTCACAATTTGAGTTGAATTACTGAAATAAATTAACTTTTCCACGACATTCTAATTTATTGAGATGCACCTGTATATAATTTACATACGTTAGAACATTTACATTTCACATCTAGTAACTAAGAGTGCACGTACTGTATATCGTTACAGTCAATATTATGAGAAGTGCACTCATGTGAGAAAATTACCTTTTTTTTTTATAATTTTTTTTTTCCAATCTTGAAAAGTGTGTACTGATTCAAGTGGAGCATGACAGCATGTTTTGGATGCTCTTTATGGAATAAGTGGGCAGATCCTATGACTTAATGTCTCATATGCCTGAAGCAAGTTTAGTCAGCACGATACAGGGTCATATACTATAAGAGAGAGAAAAAGAGAGAGAGATGCACTACATGGCCTGACGTGGCCATCCCCTTCGGAATAGCAGGTTTTGCTATACCTATTTCAAGAAAGTGCATAAAATTAATGCAGTCTTCATAGACAAACACACATACCTGCAGCCATTTTTTTTTCATACAGTGAAAGTACACATTTTCATATTTTCCAAGTAATATTTTAACTGAATGACAACTGGTGTTTTCGTACACCAAGCTATCATATGGGTTCAGAAGATAGAATTATATCATAAGTCCTATGGACTACTTTTATTATGCTTGTATGGTGCATTTTGTCCTTTTTAACACTCCTAGTCCCCATCCACTTTCACTGTATGTACTCATATCTTTTTGCCATTTTTTGGAATTGGCTTTTTTAAATGTGTCCAAATGGGATCACAAACTTTTTTCTGCTGAAATACCTTTCCAGAAGAGTGAAAGCTCTTATATAGGTAAGGTAAGGGATGCCTCTTCTCCATGTGAATGGTTTTAAAATCATATTTGTTTGGCCATGTAGTGTAGATGGATACAGAGAGATAGACAAAGTGTTTTTGTATAAGCTTGTAGTGTGCTGTAAGATTTTAAACTCAAGTATGACTTTGTCATATTGTCAGGTAGTCCCAGAGAAGCAATGTAAAAGCAAAGTTTTCTTTCTCTCTCTCTGTGCATAAAAAGACACTGTCTGATGCTTTTTTGTCTTATTGTGTAGAATTTTCTCTTGGTGTCAACACATCAAACAGAATCAGAGTTTTTATGCCATTCAGCCCACAGCCATGCTCTCTGTCTTATTGAGTACTGCACTCAGTTCTTATTGGGCTAGACTTGCTGTGCTCAGCTCTCATTGGTTCTTGTAGGGCCAGACTCTCATTAGGTCTTGCTTCCACATCCAGTCCTCAGTCAACAGAGTGAGGGAGAGAGAGGAATAAGGAGAGCAAAACCGTGGCTCAGAGTCGTGCCAGTGCAATAATCCACTGTCAGCTTTGCTCTAGCATGGTGACAGCATATTACATACTGAATGAGAGATGTGCCACATATCAAACACTGTAAGTTGAAATTGCATATGACGACAGCAGACTGAATTTGGGCTGTTTTCAGGAACTGACTGCCAACAGCTTCGAAGTCGATCCCTCTTTTCTGAAACGTATTATGAATGTGTGCTTACCTCATTGGCGTACACCCAGTGACTATCTTTGGATGCTAGATTCGTTTCCACTGCCTGCAGAAAAAAAAGACAAAAGAATGCAGAAAAATTACTGTGATGAAAATAAACAAATCTTCTTGGTCTGCATACAAAAAATTATAAGCTCAATCATGGCGCACAGAGAGCCAAGGACACTCTTTTAAAAAAGTACTTTTGTTAAACAAAGAAACATTAAAAGTTGATTTTCAACTTTTCAGAAGACATTTTGAGCTCTTCAAAAATGAGAATTTCTGCTTCCTGTAGCAACGTAAAAAGATAACTTTGTATCTGTCAGAGTCACACTTCTTGCATCTTTGCTGATACCAAAATAGAGAACAGAGTGCAGCACAAATGGGGTCAGTGGAAACGACTGACTTTAAACACACATGGAATAATGCAATCATAAAAGGATAGTTCATCCAACAATGACAATTCTGCCATCATTTACTCGCCCTGTATTTCTTTCTTCTGAAGAAAACAAAGGAGGTTATCTTGAAGAACTTTGGTAACCCAAACCTTTTTGGTTACCATTGACTATATCTACTGTATGGACAAAAAACACTGATAATTTTTTTTACAAATACCTTCTTTTATGTTCCACAGAAGAAAAAAATAGAAACGACATGTGGATGAGTAAATTATGACAAAATTTTTGTTTTTGGGTGAACTATCCCTTTCGGTTACAGGGACAGTACATAGTACAGAATTCCTAAGAAATGCAGTCCTGTGGGTAGAAATGCAATGAAATCACAACCTGTCAATGAAATGGAATAGCAATGGTTGGATATCTGGTTGTGAATCTTGACAGTGGCCACAGTGGAACATCTACATTATGTGAGATAGGAACACCTGCAGAGGGACAGACTGGCTTTCATGTTTAGGGAGTAGATATTGGACTAACCGCAGGCAGTAATGAAGCGATAAGACCACATTGCAGGAGACTGATCAAAAACGTTCCTTATCAAACATCCTGTCCAGATTCAATATAGGTGCATTCTATACAGAAAGAGATAGTGGGAGTGTATTTCTATGTCAGACACAGATAGATGAAACACAAAAAAACTAATTTTCCTGCCCAAGCTGCATTTCAAAGTACACATCGGATGCTGGAAAAGATTTTAAAAAAAACAGCTGGAGGTTGGAACGCCGCTTGCATGCATGCTTCAAAACAATAGAGAGTGTCTTGGTGGTTCTTTACATCAACATGAAAAAAATACTGATCCGAGTTCTTCTACTGAATTGCACTCGGATGCGCAGCACAGCACATGCACCACATGTGCTTCAGTCCAAGGGAGTGAATCACAGTCTTGCACTATGCTGGAAAGAGCAAGTGCATTGAAACATCTGTAAAAAAAAAAACTCCTTGCTTTTCAATCTATGCTTCCTGTTGTGCAACCAGTAAAACCCAGACCATAACATCATATTATGAATTTATACAGTGGGTACGGAAAGTATTCAGACCCCCTTAAATCAGTAAAACCCAGACCATAACATCATATTATGAATTTATATATGTTAGTACAGGGTAATCCCCAAAGTCATAACCAAATTCCCTTGCTTTCTGCAGTACGTTATATTGCAACTCTTTCTCTCTTGCTTGCAATAGATCAGAACAACAGGAGTTTCCATGACTGCAATCCTGTTCCACAACGACAAGGAAGAAAAGTGAGCCTCGCTGACTTATTCAACTGAAACTCCTGATTTCATGAAGAAGACAGATTTTGATCCCTTCATTCTTCATCTCAACCTTCAAAGCATTTTTATGCCTTTTTGTACTGTGACATCTTTTCCACTGCAAAAACTGTGACGTTATTAAGCAGAAACTGGGATCACTTCCTTCACCACCATCACTTTATACCATGAATCAAAGAGAGAACATACAGTAGCACATGATCCAACTTCAATGGTAAATGAATTGAAAATGTGAGGCAAAGTAGGTTAGAAAAAGGAGGTTTACATGTGGTGCACAACAGCTTTTGAATAATACAACTTTTTATTTTTATTTAGCTTTATTAAGCAACATGTAGACAAAATAACAGATAAAAAGATAAAAATAACATTACTGTTCTACTAAATTAGAGACAGCATCACTTAAGGAACGACAATCAAGACTTAATAACTGCAAGTGTACTAGACTACTCTGCTGTGTTGATAATGAGAACAAATGATTCTGTTATTTGACTGTCAATTTATATTTTTTCACTACAGCAAGACTGTTTTGAAACTGAGCTGGTGAAAACTGCTGTTTGTTTGCTGTTGGTAGACTACCACATTAAGGAAAGTGTAAAATGCATCCCAATTTAACTTCATTAACAGTGTAAATGTTTTAAGATGGAACTGAATTTTAGTTTTATTTAACGGACTGACAGTCCGCCTTCTAGCTCCAGTCTTTGGGTATGAGAAAAGAAAAGATGCGCCTTTGCCATTTCATGCTGATTCCATACAAACACTTTTCACAATTCTAGAACTGCTTTGGAGTGTGTCTGATTGCTGTTATTTCACATGTAAATGATAAAATCTACAAAACAGTACAGTTGTTCTTTCTTTTAAGTCTTTGCATTTAATTTTATTCAAAATTTAGAAACTATCAGCTATTCCAAATTTATTGAATTTATCAATAACACTAGATGCACAAGAACGTAATTACATTAATTTCATTAAAATTGGGGGTCATTAAAATGAATAGTATTGATCTGTTCCAAAATTATTACTGACCTATTCTACCAAACTGTCTCTCTTGGTCAATTTGTGTTGTTGTCTTCAAACTAAAATCAATAGGACAGTCTACAGCATTTAATAGCTCACAAATTCCTGCTTTTTGTTAATAGAGACTTCCGGAAATCGTGACCGTTATCTGGCTATATATAAGTGAAATTGTTGGTTGAAAGCAGTTGCATTTCTTCCAGCTTTTGAGCACTGATTGCAATGTCCCGTCTCCAGCTGTGGTGAACCTTGAACAAGACGAGCAGCAGCACTTTCTAAGCAGTGATTTTCTGTAAAAACCCCATTCGTTTTCTTTCTATCATTTCATCACACATGCATCATACATGAGTCCTTGTAAAATGTTAAGAAATGCTAGCGGATCAATGCATTGCCTTGATAAAGAAAAACATCTAGCCTTTTCTGTGCCCCATTATCATTTAACAATTCATGGAGCTCAGCTAGCATAGTGTTCCCAAGGTCATGGATTTGATCGCCAGGACTGATAAAATGCATCTATGCATCTTCCAAATATGTAAATGCAACAATAAAAAAATGATCATTCACAAGTTACTCCTCAAATGTATGTCTTTCTGTAAACTTTGCACAGTTGTTTTCATTAACATTACATGCACTCCCAGGTCTGCTACGGCCTGCCCTCTGTACCTGTTTGCCTCAATAATGCGTGCCCACTGCAAAGGTGGACAAAGCTGCCAAATCAAGGGCTGATGAGAACTGAGCTGGGATTTGAGCTGTCCATCAAAATATGGATGTGTGTACACAAATAAAGATCTGTGGCAAAGGAAAAAAATAAATATGTTCTTGGTGAGTGGAAGCACGTATATATATCGCTCTCAGATGGCAATAACAAAACATTTCAAAACACCTTCATAATTCAATTCTCACTGGCAGAAGAAGCATAAAGGAATAAATGCATCAGTTGAAGTGGATGTACACTTTGAAATTAAATCCAGTCTGCTATCTGCAGTGTTTCTTTCCTGATTCGCCTCATCACATAACCTGCCTGTATCTGAAAGGAAAAAAAAAACCCTGTCTGTTTCAGTTCTGCATTGATTTAATTGATTTTCTTACTGCTGCAGCTTGCAAGAAAGTGCAAATATTGTGTTCTGGTAAAAATCTGAACAACACTAAAAAGGACAAACATGAGCCTAAACATGTCAGTTGCACCAGCAACGTTCTCCCTCTGCTTTTTCATAATGAACTTGAAGTTCAGAATTAAACAGCTCGTGAAAAAGGCTGTGCCCTTGAAAGATGCTGTGCTAAGAACAGTTCTCACTTTCTCAACTGTAGATTCAAAAAGGCATAAAGAAAATAAAAAATCCTCGGTTTTCCAGATGGGAAAATCTCATGGTCAATTTGAGGAGGAATAGGTCTTATGAAAGTTTGATGTCTAAACTCACATTCACTCAGGGTCAACAGCCTTACACAGGAGAAAGATGCTTCGCTTGAAACATTTTTCCTCTCAAAAGAAGGCTTATGGCCTGACCAAATATAATCCAGGGACGCCAAATGATATCATAAGAGAGCAACAACACGGATGAAGAATTTGTTCATTACACCCCACCCCACCCCACGAAACCAGACAAAAACATGTGTACGAGGTGAAACTAGAGTGCTAGGGATGGAATGCAGTATCATTTGGGATGAAATATTGTTCAACACAGTGAGACTCTCAGTGATTGGTCAACAGGGAGCTATAGTGAGTTCTGATTGGCCCTTTCATTGGTTTAGGAGAATGGAGAGAAATGCACACAGGTACAAACACGTCTTCTTTATTGCTGCGAGTGCAAGGTGAATGCACTAACATCAGTTCCCCCACGACTCAGAAACATTTGTCTTCAGAATAATGCCTGACAAAGATTGCACAACTGAAATAAAATCAATATGCGCTACTCACAAAAGCGCATTTGCCAATTTTCGTCCAGGAGGAATGCTTGCACCGGTCATGTTCTCCTCAGAGATGCATGCTAACAAACAAAGCAAAACACAACGGGTGTCAATATTGGTTAGGTTTGTCAAAGACACCTGAATAGAGCCACTTCCCGTGTTGCCTGCTCACACATACTACCCCGTGGGTTTGTTTATGTATCTACACGCATTTCATGCGCATGACAGCGTTCTGACAAAAGCAACGTTTACTGGCAAACCACCAATAATCCTTGGAGACAAACGCAGAGAAAGTGCGGCTAGGCTTTTCCATTACTGACAGACCAAGTAAATTGCTTTCCATGCTAATAGCCACAGTTTCACTTTTAAATTAAGCCAGGCAATAAACAAAACATGAAGATACTCTAAATGTACACAATAGAATTAAA